GCTGCAGATAAGGAACAACTGTTTACTTCCTCGTGGCCGTGTGTGGTCTTTGGAAACACAGCTTATCTTGTATAAGGTCTTCGATGAAGTCAGAGTGACCCTGTTGCTGTGTGTTCAGAGCTGTGATAGCAGGAATTTCCTGCCTAAACCTCACTGAGACACGAGAGGTCAGTAAAGCCAAAGGACCACCAAAGTTGGAAGGATTCATCCTCTGGGTACCATGAATGTCGGAACCAAATTTCAGTAGAGAGTCTTTAGTCTGGACTCCAGTGATGGACTGAAAAATAGCAGGCCTATATCTTATACATGTAAGTCATATATTACACATTAAAAACCTCTCCTAATTGTCATCCTTACATGTTTGCCTTCAAGCAGATTCCAGTCTTTTGGAGTTCATTTTGTGGCATCAGTCTTCATCATCTCTTGCTGTAAAGTTTAGGAGAGCTCAAGTTTATCCGAACAAGTCGATCAGAAACAGTCACCAGAGTAACATTTGTATTCAGTGACCGTGCAGCTATAGCAGTACATGAAAACATACAAGTCAACATGATCGTATAAAAATTCAGTGCAGACATTCCACAGCACGTCAGTGTATCCACAGTGTGCACCTACAGTAACATGCAAAAAGTCACAGAACTTAAGGGTAACTTGTAATTCTGATGACAAAAATAGAAATGTGTCAGATTGAACCGTAACATTTTGGAAGGTTAAATGGATCTCTAGTCTTACTGGTGTTTCCTGGACTTTAACTATATGCACGCATGCACCGGCCCACTTCTTGTTTTTTCCTCTACTTTCACAAACCTATCAGTTCTAAAACAAATAAATACAAACAGTGGGCAATTTTTTTGACAAATGAGTAAGTTTTGCATAGTCCTGAATTGCTGGTTTCTGAGAAATGACCTGTTGTAAAAGCAGGAAGTCATACAAGAAGCATATCAACTAAATTTAAGCTAAATAAACTTTTTAGTTGCTTTATTGCAAAAGTATAAATCCCAAAAGTTCTCCTGGTCGGACCTGCACCTGCAACACATTAACCCAACTGAGATCACTGACTGACTGATTGATGGATTGACTGATGGATTGATTGAAGGAGTGACAACTTTAATCTCAGCATTCACTCTCCTTTCTCCACCTCTGCTCCATGCCCGGCCTTATCCATCCCTCTCAGCACTCCCAGCTACAGGCTGCAGATTAAAGCTGCTCTCATCTGGATCTCATCAGTTTAGGCCGGCCTCGTTCCTTTATAGGTTATTTTTCATTCGAAAAGAGGAGGGGGGCATCTCGGAGTGATTTAGAGTTACACTGCATGGAGGCTGGAGGAGAATAAAAGCAACTTGTTGTCTTGAGGGGCCCGTGAATGAGGCTGCATGCTAAATCCTGTCCGGTAACGGCATGCAGTTTTTAGGACAGGAGTTGTGCATTCTTCTCTTTTTTCTTCAAGCGTGTGCCTGTGTGATATTTGTTGCTGCTCCACTTTCTGACCCATTTCCTCTGTGTTTTTCCAACTGTAATGTCTGTAACATGTGGTGGATTGTTGTGGGTTGGCTGGACGAGTGTCATTTCCAAACAACATGAATCAACTGTGGGAGAAATTGTCCAACAACCATTGCACAATGCTGCGTTTCTACAATAATGCTGGGACTGTAAAGGTTGTGAGACTTTAAGAATTTAAGTGATAGTTTTTAGTCATTTATGTGGTCAAGATCCAAACACTGGCCAGGGGACACAAAGAGATATCAGACGAAGTATATCTGCAGCTACTCTGCTCTTTTACTGTGAGAACAGAGCCTCAGGCAGCTGGAGTGACAACCTGCTGAAACATTTACAACAAGCTTACATGTGTTTGCAGTGACTAAAAAATAGATAAACTGGCTGTGAGGGAGAGATGGAAGGAAAGAATGACCACTAAAACTTATTTGATTTAACTCTAGCAGTTGCCCAAGATATGTCAGACGTGCTTCAGTATATAGCAGCTGTCTGCATTTTTTCGGTAATAACACAGTGCCTATAAAAAGCATTCAAGCCCCTTGAAAGTTTTTAGCCTTTTATTGGTTTTCGAAGTTGAATCATGGTCAATGTATGGTGGCTTTTTTTGGCAAGAATTTATCCAAAAAACTCAAAGTGAGAACAGATTTTTGTAATGTAATGTCAACAAATAAAAAAAATCTAAACTGTAAAATAAGTGATTACATAAGCATTCAGCCCCTTCAAGACAATGTGTAGTAGATGCATCTTCGGCCGCAGTTACAGCAATGAGCTTGGGTGGATTGGTCTCAGTCAGTCTTGCACATCTGGACACTGTAATTTTATCCCATTATTCTTTAAAAAACAGTCAGTCCTTTTCAAATCAAGCCACAAATTCTCAAGTGGATTGAGGTCTGGGTCCTGACTCTGCCACTCCACAAGATTCACCTTGTTGTCTTTCAACTATTTCTGCGTAGTGAGGGTCCTTTTCTTGTTGTAAACAAAAAGTCCCAGTTCTCTTACAGAATGCATCAGCTTGTCCTCCAGACGTCCCTTGTATTTTCCTGCATTCATTCTACTCTCTACTTTTACAAGCCTTTCAGGGTCTGCTGTCGAGGAGCATCTTCTCGTCATGATACTGCCACCACCATGCTTTACAGTGGTGTGTTTGTGATGATGTGCAGTGTTTAGTGTCCACTAAAAAAAAGCCATCTGATGGACAAAAACTTCAATTTTGGTCCCAGTCGACTAAAGAACCATCTTAAAGTTGACTTCAGAGCCTCCCACACGTCTTCTGGCATCTCTGGTCAAGATTTAATATTAGCTTTCTCCAACAGTGGCTCTCTCTTTGCCACTCTCCCACAAAGTTTTGGCTGGTGAAGAACAGACAGACAGTTGCTGTGTGCACAGTCTCTTCCATCTCAGCTGATGAAGCTTCACTCCTTCAGACGAGTCATAGGTGTCTTGGTGGCCTCCCTCACCAGTCTATTTCTTGCACAGTCATTCAGATTTTTAAGGATGACCTGCTCTGCGCATATTTATGCACGTGTCATTTTCCTTCCATTTCCCAATGATGGATTTAAATGTTCTCCAAAGAAGAGTCAGCGACTTGGAAATAGTATCCATCCATTGTATCCATCCCCTGACTTATACTTTTCAATAACCTTTTCGGAGACTCGCTTGGAGTGTTCTTTTCTCTCTGGTGTGTAGCTACAGCCAGGGCTAATGATTTATCAGTGGCTGAGCCTTCCAGATGCAACTTTTTTTATACTACAGTCACTGGAGACACATTTACTGCACTCAGACAATCTCCACTAATTGTGTAGCTTCTAGCACCAGTTGGCTGAACCTGTGTTGAATTCTGTGGATCACTTTAAAGGGGCTGACCTTTGTAATAGCTTATTTTATGTTGTATATTCTTAACTAATTGACATTAGTATGTAGAAATATCCGTGCAGCGTGAGTTCTCTCCGGGTTCTCCGGCTTCCTCCCAAACAGTCCAAAAACATGTTGAGGTTAACTGGTGATTCTAAATTGTCTGTAGGTGTGAATGTGAGTGTGCTTGGTTGTCTGTCTCTAAGTGTAGCCCTGTGATAGACTGGTGACCTGTCCAGGGTGTCCCCTGCCTTCACCCTGAGTCAGTTGGGATAGACTTCAGCCACCCGTGACCCTAGCGAGGATTCAGCAGTGTATAGATAATGGATGGATGGATGTAGAAATATATTTTCACTTTGACATGGAATCTTTTTTGGGAGTAAATTCTTATCAAACAAGCCAAATTTAATTGACAAGATTCAATGTTGAAAAGCGATAAAAGAAAAAAACCCAATGCAATAGTTAGTTATGCTAATAATCAAATATTTGAACAGAATCCCTTCATTCACTTCTGCTGCTGTTATAATGCACAGTAATGCTGGGTAACATGTGAACTGGGCTCTTTGATCTGACTCCTGTCCACTGTTTCACTGTGTCTGGTCCATGTGTTGATACTTCCAGCTGCACAGATTCTTTTGAATGTTCTGTTGTCAGCCGACTGCCAGACATGTCCACGCTTTTATCCACAGCCACACAAAACACAAGTACGTTCATCAGTGCAACAGTTTGCTGGATGTGTACATTTTCCACCACCATCACCAACATGTTTCCATGGACAGCGGCGAGTCTTTAACCTTGGATATGATCTGTCTTTATTCTGCAGCCCGTCAAAACAAAACAATCTGCAGCGTCGAGGAAAGCCAACTTAATGTGTTCTCCATGTGTGAATGATTTCTCACATTTAGCAAAATACTTTTATTTTAAAATTGTATAACTGCCCTCTCTAGCACAGTGGGGTTTTTTTAAGTGTTACTTTTCTGAGCATATTTTGGCACAGGCCTCTTGACTGACTCAGCTTTGTCAGACTGTGTTAGTTGTGTCAAAGGACACTTTATCCTCAGAGTGTAACACACAATATTCTGACAGCAAACCAAAAACTGCAGAGTCCAATGGGATGAAAAGACCTGTTAGATTTACTTGCCATGCCATGTGCAAATTAATGCTGTGTGGTGGCCTCTTTTTTGCGAGGTGGTTACTGGTTTACGACACCTATGCGGTCGTAACACAGCTCAAGGACCACGCTGCAAGAGTTTTTTTTTGTAAATGCAGATTTGACATCTCATCAACCTAGTTTAAGCTTTTATATAACACTAACCTCATTTACCAACCTGCAGTTATTGAGCTACGCTTATATCATATTTAACCATATGGAGACATATATAGATGTTGTTGTTTCGTATTTTCTTTCTCATGTGCCACTGAAAATGGCTTGTGCTATAACATTCTAGATGTGGTCATAGGTGGAATTGATTTACTTTTGGATGGAGTCAGGCCTGTTCCCCTGTTTCTAATCCTCAATCTAGGTTAAGCTAAGTTACCCAACATCTGGCTGCAGAATCATATGTACCGTACAGACATGAGACATGAGAAGGGCTGGTCATGCTGATGTGAAAATGGTGGTAGAAGTACAATTTCTAACAATTATTCTCTCTTTCTTACAGGAGAAAATGCTGTGAAGGATTCAGGTTTGTGATGGGCCAGTGCATACCTGAAAGTAGGTAAACCAATCACTCTGTCGTCTAAGTTTTGCTCATAAAGTCTCACGTCTGACTTTTTTATAATCTGATATAGTTTCTTCTTTAAACCAGTTTGTAGATGAGAACAAGCTGTGCAAAACACAATCTGGAGAACACATTTGTTAATGTTGACCTCAGAAGCAGTGCAGATTTTCTTTTATTATAGTCAGCATTTCTCAGTTTGGAGTAATTACGTTTAAGGAGTCATTTCAGATAACTTGCACATTGTAGAGCACTGGAACAAAACAGCACAACGGGGGGAAAAAAAGGAACAGTCGGGGCACAGACAGCTGCCACATTTTGTTGTGATTTTCCACATTAAATTTGTGGTACTTATGAATGATTTGACTTTTATAACCATAATCAGAAGCACTGGTGAACAATTCTGACAAAGACGTTCAGTCTGTGTCAGCCACTAGAGGGCGCTGTTCCTCCACTCTGGCTGTAGCAGCCTATGAAGGAAGGATGCCTAAGAAATAGTCAACTGATGCATTTGAACTCAAAAACAAACCTTTCCTAACTGATATCGTGTTTAAAAATTGAGCTGACATTGAATTATTATTTTCAGCATTTTTAAGCAGCATTGCCTTCTTTTTCTAGCAGAAAGTAAATTAAATCTGGAGCACATTTCTCCCAATAAAGTACAATTTGAACTGAGCTGATTCACACGACAGCAATGATGAAGCCTAATTTTGGTCAAACACACAAGTGCTTATTTCCCATTTAAGTTAAAGTGTTCAGTGCTGTGGTATTTCTAACTGAGGCACAGAAGTCATAGGATCAGACGCCAGAACTGTGTAATATGATTAAAAGGTTCTTGTGGGCTCACAAAATGTAACCAAGTTTATTGTAGTCTGAGGAAAGATCTCATTTTTTCCAACCAAATGTTGGTTGAACTGAAAATGAATTCTGACAGTTACTGGAGCAAGTATCAGTCATGATAACAATCTTTTCTACCATAATAATTATATCGGCTGTATAATGATTATATTATTTGATCATATTATGCTCTCAGTGATATTCCTGTGTCATGCTAACAGTCCCACAATGCAATGCATAATATTGTATAAATGCAAAAACTGCAGTCCATAAGATAAGATAAGATAAGATAAGATAAGATAAGATAAGATAAGATAAGATAAGATAAGATATGTCTTTATTTAACTCACAGTGGAGAAATTCAGTGCTGTCAGCAGCAGTACACACTGAGATACACACATACTAGAAAGAAAAACTTACATATAAGAAATAGTGCAAACAAAAGTTTAAAAATACACATATAAAAAAGAATAGTGCAAGCACAGAATAAAAAAAATAGGATATAAAAGATGTAAAAATAAACAATAAAGATATAATAAGAAGAAGGAGAATGATAGAAGAAGAATGAAAGAAGAACAAACAGTGCAAATACATACATACATACATACATACATACATACATACATACATACATACATACATACATACATACATACATGTATGTCATAGAATAGTGCAAATAACCAGTGTAATATAAATAAATATGTAATATTGTAATGTATGTGTAATAATATGTAATGCATATCATGTAAGTAATGACACAAAATGATAGTGATTCATATGGGTGTAATACAGCAGCAGGGAAAGTACAGGTGCAGGTACTAACAATAATAACGTCTACATTCCATTCAAGTGTTCCATTAGGCCACAACAGTGGGATTGTGACCCTCAGCTCAAGCTCTCATTTTATTATTTCCACCTGTGCTTTTCCTACTGCGATGTGTCCTCCATCAGTGAGGGTCTGTTGAGCTGTTGATAGCCTGGCAGTAGAACTGTTTTATGGTCAGTTTCCAGTTGTGATGAATGGACGTGGTAGTAAAACTGTTAACCATGCTCAGTCCACTGACTGTCTGCCTTGTCTGTGTGTAGGTGTGGATGTGTGCGCGGCGTCGCCCTGCGAGCAGCAGTGCACCGACAACTTTGGACGAGTTGTCTGCACGTGTTACCCCGGCTATCGCTTCGACAGAGAAAGACACCGCAGCCACAAATCCCCTTACTGCCTGGGTCAGTAAACTCCCCTCTCATCAGGTTAAACACTTTAATACCATGTCTGCTGCTGGCATGGACTATTTCTCACCCATTTCAAAGCAGTCTGTTAATCCTGTAAGCAACCCAAGCAAACACAAATTCTTTAAGCAAATAACTTCCTTTGGGGTTCTTTAACTGCACTTACATGCTGGAAATGATATTTCAGGATTTGTCTAAACTAGTGAAACAGCTCCCTCCTCCTGTTTAGTCCAGCAAAACATTTTTCCTTGTTGCCATGAAACATGAAACAATGCAGCAGATTTGAAGTTAATGTGAGCTTGCTGCAAGGTTATTATGCACAGTTCTTGATTACAATTATGGATTTAGAGAGACTAACTAACAACTCCCCAAATTGTGAAAGAAATATTAAAGCTGTCTTTAATTAAAATCAAATCAACTTTATTGTCATTTTGCTGTGCATACAACAGCAGTACAAACAAGATGAGATAGGATCCAATAACTAAAAGCAATTAAATAAAGAAGTGTTTGCATATCCGGATCATGAAGCTGCTGATCACTCTGGAGGTTCCTCCTTTAATGCTCCAGAAACGTTTGCCTGATGGCAGCAGTTCAAACAGTCTGAGCGTGTCAAAAGGGTGAGGATGAAATACATGACAGATGAATTACATTGTATTATTAATGATGCCAACATGATAAGTTGAATCTTTTTTCTTTTTGAGTTTCTTTTAAATATAATTTTGTGTCGGTATGTCAACATTATTCATTTTAAAGTAACCTCCAGAAGTAGATTTCAATTAAATTGACTGGAACATAACATCTCTTCACCCTCTCTGTCCCTCACACACACACACACACACACACACACACATACAGACATCGATGAGTGTGCGGTGTCAGGCAGCAGCGTGTGTGACCACGAGTGTGTGAACACGGTGGGCAGCTTCTTGTGTCGCTGCCGTAGCGGATACATACTGGCACCAGACCAGCGCTCCTGCATCCCCGTACACAACCGTAAGTTTCTGTGCTTCCCTGTGGCTGGATACTAAGTGTGCTTAATTGACAAAGTGTCTCATGTATGTGTAGATTGTATGAGGTAGAGAATAGAACTGAATTCAAAGAAATGACCAAAGCACATAAACAGCATCAGTAAGACAACTTTCTGTTTTTGTTCAGACAAATGCTGTAACTTGCACGTGATTCTTTGAAATTTGCTGCAAGCTTAATTGCTTTTCAGAGAGTTATCAAATCAACAACAAACCTGCACTGATGTCTCGTTTTTACATTTAGTGTGATTAAATGTGTGCCTTTTGTAACCTGCTACGCTCAGTTTTCAGTTCATGTGTGTATACGACATCTGTCCCTAATGAATAACAACCAAATGAACAAAAAGGATAATTAACAAATGTGCAGTTTGAGAGACTGCACGCTGCCGCCAGATGGGGAAAAAAATTAATTATGCATTTTTGTTTTGTTGTGCAGTGAGTTCATCGGGGAAGTCGGACACTTTGATGAGTGCTGGTACCTGCTCATTCACCTGTCAGGATTTTATGAACATGAAAAACAATCTGCTCCAGTTAAAGCTCAGGCTGGGAAACACACAGTCACCCAACCAGGTAACAGCTTTAATTTGAAGTAAATAAACCAAACAGGACTGGACCAGGAAGCCTTTACTACAGTCTTTTAACTACCAGACCATTTTAAGTGAAGTGACTAAGCACACAAACAGCAGACAGCCACACAGTGTGTAGAACCAGGCTCCTTGCCTCTGTATTTACTTTACTTATTCTTTCCTCTTTGTGTTTGTAGGTACCTGGCCTGGCCAACAGCAGTGATAAACCCTCTCTAGGACGAGCAGGAAAAAGTCCTGATAGCCAGGGTCTTCCAGGTCTACCCGGCCCTCCAGGAGCTCCTGGGGTCCCAGGTAAAGTCGACATAACTGGAATGTTAAAGACAGAATCAAATCCACCACTGACTACACATGGTGTCTGTGCATGAAGAGTTGTACAGTTTTCTTTTTTAAAAGAAAATTTCAAAGAATAAAACAAAATGAAATGCCTCACACAGAATACAAATGGTCTAAAAAACAAAAAGTAGATACACGTGAGTTTTAGTCATCTTCAGGGCCTGATATTGTTGTGTTTTCTGTTGTATCTGCGCTACAATATTTCTGTTGTGTCACTCTGCTGCAAAACATTCTCCAGTTTTAGAATTTCTCTTTGTCACATCATTCATCTGTCCTCACCAGGACACCCAGGAGAACCAGGAAAGAGAGGGGACCCAGGGGAGAGGGGCCCTCCTGGCCCTCGGGGTCCACGGGGAGACATGGGACCCATGGGTCCAGAGCCTGATCTGAAGCATATCAAGAGAGGCCGCAGGGGGCCAGTGGTAAGAAAGAAATTCTCTGTCATTTATGGGTAATCACAGAGTTTAGGTCACAGTGGAGTGGTTGATTGGAGACAGCAAGAAGACAGTCCATCACATCTCGAATCTGACACCAAATCACAAAACTACAGGATGATTTATGAGGTTTTCCTTGAGGAGACACAAAAATCATCTCGTTACTAGCAGATTGCTCACTTTGAGGCTCCTCTTAATTGTGTCATGACGCTAATTTGCTTCTTGAGGTCTCGGTTGATCAGTAAACTATTTCACATATGTCAACACATGCACAATCAGCTGTGCAGTCACAGTACACATGTGACAGTCACAGCTCCCATGAAACAAAGACGGAGCTTTAAACTGCCGATTGAGCTGGACATGATGCCACCACTGTGCCTTGCTGCTTACACATCACTCCGACAGAGGTGTAAGACTGTTGACAGGCTCACTCAGCAAGCATGGTCAGTTATTACTCCGATCAGTTTTTAAACCATGAAGGTTTACCTTATGAATATATTTATATATGCAATGCACACTATATACTGTCTGTTGTGTGCACACATACTTAAAGCCCAGAAAAGCTATTTTTAAGATCCAAATGTTAACTCCACCCTGCTGCCATCATCACTGTTTTAATTACATCCATGCTTCTTCTATTGTGACATGCAAACGTGCCTCTTGTTTAAAGGGTCTGTAGTTAGAGACTGCCATGCTGTAAAAAGACAGCATGGATCTAATATGAGCATTGTCATGGTTGCTCTGATCAGATGGAAGCCTGCTGCACTATGTTTGCAACAAGTGTGTTGAAAAGCTTGCAGAACTTCTTACACCCATGTTCTAATCATTCATTCAGGGACCACCCGGAGCACCAGGAAGAGATGGATTAAAGGTATCTATTCATAGCACATCTTTATTTTCCACATATGTGTTTTCTTGCTTTGTCTGCATGTGAGCTTGTGTGGAGCTGCAGTCACCACATGGTGTCTGTATTGTCTTCACAAAGTTCACAAAGGCTGCTACATGGCTGCTCAGACTACATCACATACAACCAGTTCTAAAGCTAATTTCATCATGTTTCTTTGATTCTTTGCTAATGAAGAAATCCCAGTAACAATCATACTATATTGTACAAACATTTTTCATTTCAGTAGCACTTGCAAATACTTACTGATGTGTGTTTGAACTCACAGATCAGTTAAGTTGTTTATTACTGGATAAGTGACTGTTCCTGATTTGACTCACTTTGTCTTTGTCCACACATTGACGTAGTATTTGTGCTGTTTCCTACCTGCAGGGTGACAGAGGAGCTTCAGGTCCCAGAGGTCCACCAGTAAGTTGATTTTATAGATTAAACATTTTAAAGCAAGGACTCTGCCCATTGAGAAATGCTGCAACCGCCTGTTTTTACAATTGTCCCTTCTTCACCTTATCTTACATGTGGGAATAAAGTTCATAAATGAGCTCCTTCCTATCGCCATCTGTTTTTTCTTTATCATTGTACACCAAAGGCTGACCTAACTTACAGAAGACTTTAGTGCATGCTTTGTATTATTTTTTGAATTTGTGTGATTGTTCAGTCGATGTTTACTCACTGTCAGCCTCAGTGAAATATAACATGCAGGTCATCTTCATCAGCTTCCCAATTTCTCATCCATCTCCAGGGACCACCCGGATCCTTCGACTTCCTTCTGCTAATGATGGCCGACATCCGCAATGACATCATTGAGCTGCAGGAGAAGGTGTTTGGGGAGCGGCGGGGCATCTCTCTGGACACTCCTCCTCATTCCAGCGGAGAAGTGGATTTTGTAGAGTGGGGCTCTGGACAAGGAGATCTCATGCTCAAAACCTGACCTCTGACATCCCGCTCAGAGTGACAGTCACTTGAACCCAGCAAAAAAACCAACATCAAACCTGACTCCTTGTTTTGTTGATAACTGGTATCGACATGTACATAATTCTGAACCTCACAGCTGGGACAAACAGGGCGATGACTGAATGAATGAATGAACTCTCAACAATGCTACAGACAGTAAAAACCAAGAGATGCGATCTCTCTTAACCACTGCAAGCACTGTTTTGCTGCCTTTCATATGCCGTGGATGTGAGTGAGGGATGTGCGTGCAGGACAAAGAGTGAGAAAGATGCAGCGTGAGCCTTTGTGTCTGTGTCTTTGAGCTGTGCCTCTGAGCTGAACCACTTCAAACGTCGAACTTTATCGTCTACATCTTTTCCTGTTCCTGAGTCTGTCCATGGAAGCTCTGCTGTGCCACTGACAGTTTGCCTGCAGGGCACTGGTGTAAAGACCCGGGACCTGCACGGTTAGCCTCCCCTGCACCTGTCTGCTGAAGTCTGAGCTGTGCAGCTACTCTCTGAGGCACCTTCAGAAACCAATTCATGGGATTCATGAGTGTGGTATTGTTGGAATTGTACAATTAAAGAGCTCAACTTCAATTCTGATTAAAAAATAAAACAATAAATAAGTACAGTTTGCTGCTTGGAAAGTATATGCAGTAATAGATATTATAGGAAATGGTTTTAGAAAAGAAAATTTAGTTGGATTTACACAGTGGGAAAGGCCTAAAATCACTTTTATAACTCATATATTGTCACCAAGTTGAGAACATAGAGTGTTGCACATATTCTCATACTTACAGCTGGCAGACCTGACGGAGGATGCTCGAGTCTTTTTTTTTCTTCTAAAAAGCAACTACCAAGAGGGGCTAGGTTTCTCAATAAAGGCTTGTCTAAATGTGGTTTAGTTTTTTAGTTTGTGTTTTTTGTCAACAGATCATCAGTTTTGCTAATTTTTCTAAGCCTTTTCAAAGGGAAAGCATGAAAGAACAATGCTTGTTACCAAATTTTTCCCCACTTGACTGCCCGTATTCAAGGTCCATAGCAAATAATGTAAATACTGCATTAGTGCTGTGATCCAGCCTCCAGGGTCAGCTGGATGTAACAAAAAACAGTTGTTGGTTGGAGTAAAGCAATTTATTGCTCAGCAACATAAATGAATATAAACAAACGGTGATAATACAAAGAAAAGGAGTGGATGTTGCTAAAATCAGTGAACATAAACTCAGGCCGAACTGTTCACGTTAAATCCGAGCCGCCCCGACTGAGAGTTTGGTTGAGGTTTTATACTCCAGGTGTGCTGACTGTTGCAGGTTGACTGGCTGAGGATAGAGGGAACAGGGTGGTGGTCCAATCAGGCCAGAACCAGGTCTGGAGCTCCAGACTAATCAGCTGCAATGATTGGCAGCTGGGGCTGCACTCTCTCCGGCCAGCTACAGCAGTGTTCATGCCGGTCCTCTCCCTGTACATCCATCCATTATCTATGCACCACTTAATCTTCATTAGGGTCGCAGGGGGCTGGAGTCTATCCCAGCCAACTTAGGGCGAAGGTAGGGGACACCCTGGACAGATCACCAGTCTATCACAGGGCTACACTTAGAGACAGACAACCAAGCACACTCACATTCACACCTACGGACAATTTAGAATCACCAATTAACCTCAGCATGTTTTTGGACTTGTGGAGGAAGCCAGAAAACCCGAAGAGAATCCACGCTGCATGGGGAGAACATGCAAACTCCACACAGAAAGAACTGCGAACCGGCGACCTTCTTGCTGCGAGGCAACAGTGCTAACCAACTGCGCCACCTTGCAGCCCCTCTCCCTGTACAGAGCTCTCAAATGATCCACCACCATACAAAACACCAGGGGCCGTAACAATTGGCATCATAAATGACAGCCCGAACTGCTCTGCTTGAAATGTAGTTCTGTTTAAATTAAATTAAATGGTGAATAAAGTCATTATTTGCAATAGTTTAAACATGTTTCTGTCTTCAACCAGGATCAGCAGCCTCCTATTTGTAAGTACTTTAAAATATGCTTATTGTAAGTTTTTTTTTTTTTTTTTACATTGTTATTGATGTATGATTCATACAGGAGGTGATTTATTCACTTCAGCATCAAAGCATCAGAAAATTTACTATAAATCAAAGATCACAAAAAGAATAGTCATTTTCTTGAAGTAAGAGCTGTAAAACAATACATGGTGCTGGAAAGCAGACAAAAATTGATCCTTTTATTTCCTTTGTCTTAATATTTATGTTCTTATTAATAGGAATAATGACAACAAAAGCTAAATGAAGTGCCTTATAAATGTTGTACATCTGTCATTTCTGACCACAAAAAAGTCTTCAAAATTCAAGGTGTAGTTTTTAAACAGTTTAGTTGGGGCTCTGATGTCTTTATCGGGAAAACTTCTGCATTGAGTAAAAAGGAAAAATAATAAGATAAAATCTCTCTGTATATTTTTGTACAGAAATCTTTTAACGCCAGCCAGACAATTTGTACCATTGAGCAGCCAACAGATCCCCACAGACTAAAGGTCATTGATTCAGAGTCAAGACAAGCTGGAAAGGTTTTTGCATGCTTAGTAAACTAGTGATTTAACAGCAGCTGCCAACGTGCCCCTGAGCAGGGATTTACAGGCCGATTAGCATCAGTCGAGCAGACTTTTTGACCACCAAGTGACTATTCACTCAGTGTCACCAGCAGAGGGTGCTAATTCACAGATAATTAGGAAAAAAGTACACGGAGTTGTAGTGAGGTACTGATCACTGGAAGAAAACTCTGGAGTTGGAAGAAATAGTTCTGACTCCATATATATTTTTTCTTTAATTTGGACAACATTTTGACCCTCAGCAGTCCTAGTAGGACAAAAGCACTGGTGTGTTTTTTTTAGGCCACTCCTTTTAAAAAAACATCTGATTATGATTACATAATCGTCTTCCACCACTTCAAAACCAGTGACAGCAGACAATCAAATCACTTCAAACAAAATGACAAGAACTACCATGCACCTTAGACATACTGCAGTTTCATATACCAATATTAAGTCAGATGTGTTCCAAACAATAAAATACATACAATTTTATTAGATTCCTTATAGATACGTTATACATAACACATTTGTCAAAAATATTCAACAAGGAAGAGCATTACAGAAACGCTGTTTAAATTGTAATCTATATTCCATCCAGCTGACGGGGTTCTCAAACGGTAGATCCTCCAAGTTACCTCCTCCAGGGGTGAGCGATCACGTCTTGGGTCCAATGTATTTTAGAGGAAATAAGATGACTAAATTCAACAAATTGTGGCAGACAATACCTCAAAAACTCAATCTCTTGAATGCGTTGTAGTGAGTACCAACGAGGTGTTTACTCACCTCATCAAAGTGACTTTTCATTACGCCCGTACATATGAGGTGTGTCAGAAAGGTTCAAACTCAAACTACAAACTACGAGTTTTCCCCTCTAGACGATCAACCAGCACGTCTACAAAGAGATCCTGCAGCGTTTGCTTTGTTTAGTGAAGAGGCTAGAGTTGTGGCAGGACAAGCCATGGCTGCTTCACCATGACAACATGCCTGCTTACAATGCGCTGAGCATCCGACAGTTTCTGGCTGAGAAGAACATGGCCGTGCTGGAGCAACCTTCCTACTCACCCCACCTGGCTCCGTGGGATTGTTTCCTCTCCCCCAAGCTCAAGGGGGTCATCAAGGGGACCTGTTTTGAAGACGTGGACGACATCATGATGGCTGTGACAATGGAGCTGTGGAGGATCCTGGAAGAACCCTTCCAGGAGTGCATGGCGGCGTGGCAGAGAAGGCTGGGAAAGAGTGTTAGACTCCAGGGGGATTACTTCGAAGGGGAAAACTTGTAGTTTGTAGTTTGGATTTGAAATATATCTTTTGTCTTGGAACTTATTTGACACACCTCGTATACATTCATAGCCTCCCAAATGCACAAGTTATGGAAAAGAAGTAAATCATCTGAGCATTTATGTGCAAAGCAGATGCTCCCCCTTATTGTCCTCAGCAGTGACTGTTGACCCATAGCGTGGCTAGGTGTCATTATGAAAGGTGTTAAGAATCAGGAGGTCAGAGGTCAAATGCCTGGGTATAAACAGCTGGAGGGATAATTATAGGCCGCAAGCTGTCAGCGGAGACCTGTTTGGGCTTGAACCTACCTCAGAGGAGACGGAGAATCCAGAGTCTGTCTGAAAAGCTACAAAGCTAACGTCTGATCTGGGCTGTGTTAGGGTTCACGCTGTCTGGCCTTTCACTCGCTTTGATCCTGACAGACGGTTAAATTCTGCTTCTACGTTTGTGTGTGTGACAGAAAGATCGCTGCTGTGTGTGTGTGTGTGTGTGCAGAAATAATTGATGTATAATATATTTTTATGTTAGTTTGTGCACATCATCTATAATTTATGCGTGTATCCCGATACCTACATCTGCGTGCGTGATACTTGACAGGCTTCTCACCTAGCAGCTCCGCCTCCTGCCGTGCGGTCACCGCTCGCAGTGCAGCTGTTGCCGGGGCAACCAGGATCAGGAAAAACAACATGAAACAATTTAAGAAGTATGTCAGTAAGAGAAAGGCGAGAGACTCAAAGAGATTATCTCATTTCCTTCACCACTTGTCATGCAACAGGAGGCCTCCCTCTCAGCCTGTAGGGGACGACAGAGGCAAGGTCATCGCAGTGCACCGCGGCAACGCACAAAGTTCACACACCGCCAGTGACAACAGGTCTGTCATCTCCGCAATGATAGGATCAGCAAAAGGAGAAAGAAAACGTACAGAGAGAAACATATAATTATCTCACATCAACCACCTGTATTAATTGAAAAATACCTGTCGGCTTGTAAAATTAAGAATTTTTTTAATTAGTGGAAGCACTGAAAGACTTTGACGTCATAGGTTTTCTAAGAATGTCTAATGTTTATCTTTTTTTTTTCTATTTCCTCATATCCTCATACTGCACTATAAATGACATAACAGTATTTTCAGTGCAGGCCGTTGGGATGCCAGACTCGCTGCACCGATGTCGTACAGTGAGGAGAGTTGTGTAACTATTTGCTGGTGTCTTTAGATGAGGAATAAAGATACAACAGATAAAATTTGGCCAGATGTTTCCTAGCATGAGAGGAATTTCCGCACTGGCACACTATGGCCATCCATAAATACATCTCATGCACGACAGGGCTGTCACTTCAAACAGTCTGCTCCTCCGTGTGTGTGTTGGTGTGTGTGTGCCTGTTAGTGTGTATGTTTATGTGTGTGCGTGTCTGTGAGTGGGTGTGTTGTGTCAGGGAGGTGTGTATATAATGTGTGAAAATGCAAATGTGCGAGTGTTTCGGTGACTTGATTGAGTTGTTAGTTATTTCGTCCTCTGCTTATGTTTTGGTGCACCAAGAAGATTGGCCAAACAAGTCAGACAAAGACGATGCCCGGTCGCTAACAAAGGACCACAACACTGTTTTAACTCATTTAAACAAGTTATTAGGAGTAATGCACACCCTGGATTTGGGAAATTATTACATACATTCAATAACTTGTGCTTATACCAGCACAGAATGACTTTACTATGCAAAAACTACTTCATTACAAGACCACGATAAATAATCTATCACAGTGATTATCATTTAAAGTTATGCTATCACTCTCAAACAGAGGAAAAATATATTTCAAAATGTGTGTGGGTTTTTTTTTTATGGTTTCTTTTAAAATAGTAACCTGAACATGAACCACAACATCCCCAGTTTGCGCCTGGCGCCAGGATTCTTTGTTTCTACATGTCATTTCCCATCTCTCTCTTCCCACGTTTCCTTTTATCTCTCTGCTGTCTGTTATCTAATAGAACCATCAAATTGCTTGTAAATTAATTATTTTAAAAATCAGAAT